AGGAAAACGGGGACAGAATGGTACCGTGTCATTCGACTAGTGAAGAAAGTAACGAACAGAAGAAACGACCTAGGTAACATGTGATCTATGATCGATTTGAGAAATAGTTTTCGAGTACCGCAGTTATGGTTTGCGACATTCCATTGGAAGACAAAATATTTAACGAATCAGACCTATCAACACATTTGGAGGTGTCACTGTAATCCAAAAAAACATACTATGACAGCTTTCTCATTTCCATCAAGTGCTGAAAAGCATAATGAATCAGAGATGCTAGGGCATCTAGTATGGAGTGAGAGAGGCGGTGCGCAAATTGTTTTTGGTCCTGCACATTCAGCTGAGCTGAAATTCCCTGAAGTAGTAACTTTTCTAAAAGCTTCAACACAGCAGACATACATGCAATAGGACGGAAGTTTGAGTTGCCCCTTTTAGGTACTGAAGTGATGGAGGCAGATTTCCNCAACAATCCGGTATAATTCCGTTTTCCAAGCACGGGTGAAACAGAGCTGTTAGCACTGGCGAAAGTGCGTGAGCAGCCTTTAACCTATCGGGACCGGGTAATTTATTGGTTTTGGGTATCAACAACTCATTTCGGAGCACCCTGTTGTTGACTGGTAAAGGGTTCTTTATTGTTGGGGTCGATGTTAGCGCTGATGATGACCTGCCCCGTCCCCGTGTTGTTGCTATTTTTATTGAACGTACTATTTAGTTCCTCAACGTCTATTGCTGTTCGAGACACGATTGAGGATTGACCACTCAGTTGCCTGCTGGCGTCCCAGGTTTCCCGCCAGGTTTTGTTGTGCACTAGTGTGCGACTCTAAATGCCGTTCAGCCGANGTAACCCAACTTTGATAGCAAGAGATAAAAGTATCACGCTTTGAAATCTTTGAGCTTATCCTTGTTCCGATGTAACTGCTTCAGATCAGGAGACGAGATGCGGTCACACCGAAGGTATAGCGTCTCCCAAGGGCAGCATATATCGTAGCAGAAGTTTAGACACTATATTGATCACAATAGATGGAAGAATTAGGGGGTAGAACACACTGAAGTCCGTCTGAGATATAATCAACTTGAGCTTCTCTAGGTTCTCTTGGTTACATTGACGTTTTCTTCTTTTTATGTCACGGCCTTTAGTGAACGATATGTGATTGAACTTGCTGTACACTTTTTTTGAAACTTTAACAAGGGCATGGTCTGAAGACCCAAGATTGGAGCGGGGAGATACGGAAAAATACTGGCATTATTTACAAAACACTTGTACCGGGGCAGCAGTAGCAATGAAATGACACCTCTTAGCCCCCAAGAATTTGGACCACCGCGAGAGAAAATCGGCCTGGGGAATTGCTTTGCCCGGACGGTGCACTATGTCGTATAGTCGTAAGCAGCCAATGCAACGCTCCATTGCTGAATCATCGCCTTCGTCGGTTTTGAGATCGACTTTTGTGGACTGAATAAATATTGCAACGCTTGATGGTCGGTTACGATGAGCATTTAGCCTTGTTGGGAAGCTCACTATGTTTGTCAAATCAAGTACAGTCAAGAAGCTGACATCAACACTATTGAAGTCATCAGAGATGATACATAGCGCGAAATCAAGATAACTCATTACGGCTATGGAAATAGTATCTGAAAAATAAAGCAGTTCCTTTGAGGGACAAGAAGGGGAAATATAAATGTTAGCTAGGAAAATCGACCGATAGTTACTGATGTGCTTCCTCTTGCATTCATGTACGAAGGCACAAATGTGACCAATGGAGTGAGCGAAGGTGTGCTTCACATTCTTGCACCAATTGTTATTGATTTAAGTCACCAGACCTCCTCCACGCTTCTGATACGTTGCCGGACAGTCGACTCGGTATTCAGTGAAGCCATCAACCTTAGTAACTAGGTCTTTGGTAGTAGAATTCCGCCTAATTTAGAATATTCCATACAGCGCATAAGATCAGATGCAGCTGGTAATTTTCAAAGCAACGAACAGACGTTTATGCTTCCTTTAATATCCATGAGATTTTCTGCAAATCTACTATTTACAATTTAACTAGTTAGTTAGCTATTTACCACTTTTATTTGGGCAAGTACCTCATGGTGGCCTCAAATCGCACAATAAACTGCACGGAGATTTAGGTAAGATAGCAAAGCCGGAATAAATCCAAGAGCCATAGATCAATAAATGAACTAACCTAAAGCGAAGCTAAACTAAGCACTAAACTCACCATAAGCAATAATTATCGAACGCGCTGGAACTAATTTTCTCCAGCAACTAAAATTTATAAATTTATAGTGGTGGATGGTGAACAGCAAAAACTGTAGAACTGACAGAAAACCTGACAAGGTTACAATGGAATATTATGTGAGTTTTTCCCAACGGGAAAGTGTTAAATACTGAAACATTTCAAGCAAAATTTAGGCAATGAAAAGTGCTTTTAAATGATTGATCCTATCTGGAAATTTTCATTTGCAATTCATCTTTCAAATAAACTACAATGCAAGAATTCGTGAAGGTATTTCTTGTGACTCCAAATACCACTGAGTTATCACATTTTCTAAAATTGTATAATATTATAAATGACTAAATGAAGCAGGGTACACTTCAACCTGTTCATTTCCATTGGCGAGATTTCCTGTTCTCGGATATCTGGTTGCAATAACCACACACCCTTTACTGATAATTCCCCAAAACATTTAACACAATTTCTCCGTTCCTCAACTCGCAAGTACAAGGTGAAGATAAATATCGCCGATTACAACCAGTTTGTGTTACTCCACTCGATGTCAACCGATAATACGTGTGTTTGATGTGGAACCAGCAGTGGGTTAAGGTACTATCGGATTTTTTTATTGAGTGTTTATCATGAAATGGTGAGGTAATGAGCTGTTTGTCTGCCTAACGTAACTTGTATTGTGANGTATTGTGATTAAATCGTCCTTACACAAACACACATTGGAGGGGTCATTTACCAAGGCAACCATTGATACTGTCATTCGAAGTAACGTCCCGATAGAATTACGTGATATCATCATGACTGCATCGGGCACGTTAACTCGATGGTCAACCGTCATTGGTTGCTTTACCATTGAAGACAAGTGATTTCTTGATTTTCTTTGTCTCATTAATGTTGATTGCTTTATCAACTAAATTATTCATCCGGGTTTGTATCCTGGTGCTCGGTTTGCCTAACAACAAGTAAAAAGTAAAAGTTTTAATTTTAATTTCCTTTCCCGATATAGTGGCATAAGCAGAAATGTCCTAATTGAATTAATAGTGTGCTAGTATGCCGACACATGTCAAAGAATTGCTAATAGAGTGTTGAACAACAAAGATCACTGATTAGAAAATGAGCTTCTTGGATCTGTGTCAAACCAGTGTACTGGTTCTCATTGGAGGCTCCTTCCCGCATGCACCATGACATACAGAATGAGTATTCTCTCCTATTTTACTCGTTATTTTATTAAACCAGGTATCAACCATAGTAGGTTTGATGAGGTATCTCCTAAATACGGTTTTATTTAAACTATTTCTATTGTCTTCTTACTCACCGTGGGCTTATTATCTCTGTCACACTTCGTTGCTCCTTTCCCCGTGTCTACTGAGTTCTTGTGAAAATCGCCACAAATTCAACCCTCTAGTGCCTCAAGCTTACTATGACCTGACCGGCTATCTTGACTTATTGCTTTCTTGTCATTACTATTTTTCGCATACAAATTACACTTTTGCGATCAAAGAGTACACTACAAATATGTTGTGCGCCGTGCAGTATCTAGCTCTACTTGAAAACCTTTCGTTGAGTTGTTGACGTTTTATGTAATTATCTAGCTAAAATTAGTTAAATATTCTCATACAATCGTGATTCCATGAATCCGTATCCTTCACATCTTGTTATCAATTAGCTCAAACAAAACTTTGTTTCAAAGGCGGAGATTCGTTGTGTATATGCCGAATAAAGCGTAAACTGAAAAGCTAGGAAGTATTGGACAGCTGTTTTGACCTGGTTGGGTCAGCAATGTAAATCTTTCGACCTAACTGGGGATCGAACCTGGGACATCATGGGCAGACCGCAAGCATGCTACCCACTCGGTAACCGGGCAATCGATCAGTCTGTTTTCCATTTTCCAATTACACGATATAGGGAGAAAAACTAGAGGTAAATTCAACACATTCTCTTGAAGTCGAAATCACCTCAATCCATGTGGAGTGAGAGGAAGACTAAGCACAAAATGGATAGTGATTCTCGATATATTTAGGATTTTATGAGACACTTAATTCCGAATAACCCCAAACAAAGCATTACAAGAACTAAACTTCAACAGCAAGAAGCTCGATTACAACGAGGACAGCAACTATGGGTACGAAAGAATAGTTTCGCATAAATATTTATGTTCACATTTGGTTTCTGCATCGGAATGCGAGCAATTTTCCTTCATTCAAACAATTAATACAATAAGTGTATCGGAAAAATTACTTTGAACCACACACATATAAGTCAGTCCTCCCGCGGCGGTTCAGTTAATTAAAACGTTTTTTATACAAGTCAACTCGCTATTATTGATGGATGCCTGTTAGCTCCTCGGAATGGGAAATCAGTCAAATCTTCTCATCCCTTTTGCATACCTGGACGAGGAATGCGCATAAACGGCCGCAGACACACGTTACCCTGATTCATCCAGCCGGCCTGGATGGTGGGCCGGTGTACCGGTTTGTTTATGGGGGAACGCCTGCAGTTTTGTGACTGCGCACTACGCGATCAATAATTCGAAAAAACACGTGTGTAATCCCGGGCGCACTGAAAGTTCATATGTAACCTCCACCCACACAAATACAAACAGGATAAGCCGAACACTTCGCTACCATTGGTTGAGAAAGCGCCTAGCCAAATTTGGTCATCCCCTGGAACTGTGCGCGGTATAAATGATGAATTTACCCCATTTCGTACCAGCTTCCACTAGTGTTGTGCTACCTCGTTCCGCTCAGTTGAACCTCACTCGATCAACAACAACTGGAAATGGCAGACGACGAAGTTCAAGCGCTCGTTGTGGACAATGGTTCGGGTATGTGCAAAGCCGGTTTCGCCGGAGATGATGCACCCCGTGCCGTGTTCCCGTCCATCGTCGGTCGTCCACGTCACCAGGTGAGTTTGTGAACTTGAATTACTAGATGATCCTTCACTCGTTCTCAGTAGTGTCGTGGTCTGAGCTGGATCATGTATCGCTACGTGATAGTTCCATTCCCGAAAACGTTATGTGGTTTTCGATTTCCGAATAGCTTAAGTCTGAATTGTGTATGTGGTTCCGATGCGCCGGTTAATCACATCATAGCGACTTTATTGTGTACGGTGCAACCTGCAGAATAGTTTGCAGCTTTCGTGGTCATTAGGCCTAACACTCAAGTTTGAACCTGTCTATGTTTTCCGAGTTTAGGGAAATTGTTGATGTCTTTAGGTTTAAATCAATCATTAAACAGTAGAAAATTCACTGAGCATGATGGAGAATATCACTGACTAAATATTACAACCATATTCACCTTGGTTTGTACCATTATATGTACTGACCATTTTCTCCTACCCACACGTCGGAAAACCACAGACCCTGTTTTAAGGTGATTTCATACAGGCCGATGAGCGCTAGCAGATTCGGGAGATTTCTATCAACGAAGGGATGATTCGCCTGCAAAGCAATAGTTATCAATTCATAAAAATGCTGAGTCGAAAAGTTAAACAAAGGGAGTGTACAATGCACTACAAATGCAAACTTAAACCAAGGTTATATGTGAACTATTGGCGTCGAATATGGATGTGTTAATAAGGACAGTATATGATGCCTATTGAACCAAAAAAGAAAGGTATTTCCCACAAATGACTGTGAGGAGAATGTTTATTTGTGAATGATAACCTGTGCAATCTTTGCTATCGAACATTCTGTCCATTGTTCCATTGTCAATTGTCTGTATATCGGTGTTCAAGATATACACAGAACGTCGCCAAATTGTGATTTGGGGAATGTATACTGGAGATTACCGGTTTCCCACCAACGTCGAACGGTCAAACAGTACTCATATTCAAGTAGAAAAAGCAGCATTAGAATATGTTGAGATTCAGACTGAGTAGAAAGTTTCCAACACCAGCCGAAAATTTGAGAATAAACGTCAATGGAGACAGACATCAATGGTCAATTCAGGGGTCAATTGGAGGCGATGGCATCCAGAAGGTTTGACTTCCCAATAGCGGATTACTAACTGATCCTTCTGCGATATTTTTTTACTAAGCAAGAAAACAAAAATCAAAATACATGGAAATTTAAAATACGCGCACGGATTAATGATTAGCGCCAGAAAAGCATACATCGCTGAATATTTCGGATAAATATATTTGTGGCATAAGAAAATTGGAGGATTTGATTTGTTTATGTGATGAATTCGTCGTGCAAACAAGCCGCGGATTGAAGAACTGAAAAGCATTAGACAGCTTTTTCAACTTGGTTGGGTCTCATTATAATTGTGGATCATGGAATCGTATTAGATAGTGACGTGCAAGTCAAGAGCGTCAGCAACCATTGTTCGACTAATTCCCATCTGGGGATTACTGTTTATCTAAGTCTACAAAAATACTGTGATATAAATCTGCTTTGGATACAGTGATATATGCAGCAGCAAAAAAAAGCCGAGGGAGACATGGATGGGTTGGTATATAGGGCCAAACATGAACGATCTCCCTGGACATATATGGAACGGTGTACTCAACGAGAGTATGATAAAAGTATCTCCAGTCGAAATAGACCATTATTAATCCATTATCCAACGGAACGTTAGTTTTTGAAAGACGCATAAAATTATGTTAGATAGCACCCGAATACAAATGACGACTCAGTTATCAGTCTATATGCATGAACAGATGAAAATCTATAAAAAAACGCAGCCTCCTACACATAGCAAGTAAACGATTTAATCTCCGTCTTGATTGATTTCAGGGAGTGATGGTCGGTATGGGTCAAAAAGACAGCTACGTCGGTGATGAGGCACAATCGAAACGTGGTATCCTCACACTGAAATACCCAATCGA